ATTTCAAATTCTCTACTTTCCTAAATGTTCTGCCTGTCTGAAACCAATTGAGAATGAGACAGCAACCGTGATTGGCCAACAGTATCATCCTGAATGTTTGTTCTGCTCTGTCTGCAAGTCATTGCTGAAATTTTCCATCTATGTTTTTAGTTCTATTTTTTTGTTAAAATGTATTTATAATAAAATGTCTATATTAATTAATTAATTCTATAAAACTTCACTATAATTTACAAATTTTCATTAAAACTTGCAAACCCATAATTTCCAAACAACAGAAAGACAGCAAAAGTTAAAGACAAATTAAATTACGATGGTAAAAATTTTATCTGCCAGTTGTGTCTGGATAAAAAAATATTATCTGATGGCTATGGTTCAGTTCCTGGCAGTGGTAGTAGCTTCAGTTCTAAACTCATGAATCACTCAGATAATGATCATTCAGATAATAGAAAAAGTAGTGATAACGACCATGATGAACATGATACTGTAGATACTACTAATGATACTTATAAGAGATACACCAATCAGACAGCCAGGAATGTGAATAATTGCCACCATAGTGTAGAACATAGGTGCTCTGCTTGCTCTGATTGTGAATGGCCTGGTTGTAAGACTAATGCTGATGGTAAGACCATTCAGTCAATCAGTGGTTATTATCTGCTAATTTAATTGTCAATTAATTAAATAATCAATTAAGTGAGTTGGTAATTAAGTAATCAATTAATTATTTTAATTATTCGAATTTTTATTATTATAGTTATGTTATGCATTTTAATTTAGATTTAATACAATAATTATTACATGAATATTATATTATCATACTTACATTGGTTTAAAAAGAATTTCCCTTTAAAATAACCAACATTATAAAGAAAATTTATTTAACCGCTATATTTTCAGTAGAAAAGTCACCATCATCCAATCAGAGAAAGATTAAAACTTTGAAATTTGCAACTACAACAACAGCAGCAGCAGCAACAACAAAAATAAAATCATCGCCAACAACAACAACAACATCATCAATTTCCAAAACATCAACAACTGCACATAGTTTACTCTTACAATCACCACCAAAAAAACCAACTACATCAACAACAAATTTGACTCCGATTAAGACATCAGCAATGAAATCAGCAACAACAACGACAACGATGATGACGCCAAGTAAAACAGTAGCAACAACAGCTACAAAAACA